AAATCTAGTTTCCAAAGAGAAAATATCATCAGAACAATTACAATGAAAGTATTTATAGAAAAGGCAGAGTTAAGCTATTTTTGCGGCGGTTTGAAACTGTCTAATGCCGAGATGACAGGCGAAGACCAATATCATTGGAGATTCTTCTTTGGATTTTATCAAGGATCTCTAAATATATAGAATCAGCAGACCTTATGTGTATCAATATTCTAAGCATGTAAGAATGTTAGACATATATATGTAAGATATATTCCAGAGAGAAAAATTTTCTAGCACAAAATATTGAACTAATTTTCCTCGCAGTAAACCTAGCCATTAATTCTATATAATCTTTCCACGTCATGTCAACGGAAATTATTAGGCGAGGAAGATGCAATGAGTCACTCTCTTGGAGCTTCATGATGGTAGAAGGTAAATAGAATGGATAGAAGTTTGCGTTGTAAATTACAAGTAAACATAATCATCATTGATTTACACTCGGCCATTAAGCTTGAAATAATTTTACAAAGAAATGCCTCGCATGAGCGACTAATTAGCCGGCCATTCGATAATAGTTCATTAATATTGTTATTTACTTTCAAAACTGAATATTTTTTGTCAATTTTATTACAATCAAAAATACCAAGTTCTGGACCAAGATGATGATTGCGAGGCATTTTATTGAAATTTCATATTTATTGCGAATGACGTCGAAGATAAATTCGGTTCGTCGATCTATTGGGTGTTTAAATTTTGGGGTGGATTTATTTACATGACACACGGAGCAAAAAGTTAACTACCTTCGAAAAAAAAATGTACAAACACCTATATGCGCACACATACACACACACACGCAGGCATATATATATATATATATATATATATATATATATATATATATATATGAAATAAGAACAAATCGAATATAAATTCAAACGTTCATAACATTAATTTAAAATTGGGCTCAATACAATCCAATAGCAGAGCAATATAATCATTTATAGGATATTACATTCAAACATATTACATAGAAACAGCCAGTCAGTTATGTGGTCATGCATGATTCACGCTTAGGCGATCATGTATCTTTCGATACATGATTGACGTAGTGATTTTTTTCCCATCGTAGGTTGCCATTTCCAAGACTATAGAACCAGGTTTATCTTGTTATTTACCTCGAAAAAGATGATTCATACCTTTCCCAAGGTTATCAACACGTAAGTGAATGTAATGGATTCGACTGGAATTCGAACTCGGCTCCTCAATCCGAGCCGCCACCCATTACTCCACTGTGTGTGTAGAAACCACGCTACATAAAAAATATGTTTGTGTGTATAATACATTTATCATTTAAGCAATAATATCAATTATTTGTTTAAAAAACGAAATAAAACTTCTCTAGCACAAAAATTTGAACGTCAAAAAATTAAAATCGGTGATATTTTTAAAGCTATTCCAATTCGCCACAAAAATAGCAACTGCCGAAATAAAAGAGAAAAAAATTTAAAAAAGATAAAAAATACCCTAAAGAGCAAATGTAAATTAAAAAAAATTACCAAAAAGGAAAAAAACGAAGACACAATGCACATACGTACCTCCGCAGAGACGGACACATGGCTTCACACGCACAAACGCATACACGAACACAAAAATACAGAAAAAAAACTTCCATGAATGTTAAGTCTATATATAAAGGAAAAAATCGAAAGCAAAATATAAGCAGTAAATTGCTGATACTCTCTGAAGAGTGGACGGAGAGGTCCGCCTACAGGATGCTGAAGGTAACATCAATCAGCTAAGGGACAAATTTTTAGTCACATCAATCATATATATATATATATATATATATAAAACTGAGTTTTATGAACAATATAATCATTAGCTGCTGCTTGAAAACTAACATGTATTTGTTATTGTTGACATATGTGTGTGTGTGTGTGTGTGTGTGTGTGTACAGGGTTCGATGGATAAATTACTGTTGTATTGTCGTGGTGAATGATACACAGAGGAGCATGTGTGCTTAATATATTTATTCAGCACCAGTATCCGGTGCTAACGGGTAGATACAAAAGAACACAGAACAATAAGTTACAAAACAATTAACAAGACAACTTACAAGGGATAGAGGAGGGTCAAATGCTGTATCACCAAACGAAGTAATCTCAGTCCGAATATTAATCAGCTTATTATCAACTGTCGTAGTCCTTAATCGTAGACTATTTAGGGCTATGAACCAGGCCATCTGTAGAGAGCTGAAGGTGTGATAGCTACTCTACGACTACTACAAAAAAATGAAAATAGTACTGACGCTCATTTTAACAGATATATTTAACAAAATCACACAAAAATATCTTGAAATATTAAAGAGTAAATTTATTCAATAAAATCTACATTGGCTTCAACCACGGCCTCCAGATGACTTCGGAATCTCTTGCAACTCTTCTGGATAGTCTCCTTGTTTAATTCGGTGAATGCTTCCTTAATCCTTGTCTTCAGTTCATCTTTGGTGTTACAAGGAGTTTGTTGTTGATCCCTCGCACAACTGTGCCCCACACATAATAATAATAAGGGCCTTGTAGTTTGAGGAGTTAGAGGTAAGTTGTGGTACGATCGCAGAAATGTCTGACATCAATGACTGGGTTCTCTTGATTGTGTAGCATGGTGCATAGATCTCTTGCCAGACATATGGTCTTACAGCAGCCACCCTCCTGACCCAGGGCAGAACTACGGCCCAAAGGATTCAGTCTGAGATCCTTACTAACAATTTCGGGAGTTCTTTTCTTATCAGAAAAAGCAGAGTGTGATGTTCGCGCTGACGTACCTCGTAATCCCCATTACTCATCCAACTCTTTCCGAATCATCTGCACTATCCTCAGATTGACATCCAGACATTCTGATTCTGGAGATTCCGACGCAAATGCCAAACAGTACAGCAGGCCGTTTCCAAATTTCTGTCGGAGTAAGTTGCGTTATGCTTGTCTTTTTTCTCATAGATAATGCCGAATTAAACTGTGTAGTTGACAAAATCAAAAACAAACAACACGCATGCGCGAAATTAAAAATATAAAATGGCAACAATTTATCCATTGCATCTATATATATATATATATATATATATATATTCATAACAAATCTAGTGTCGCTTGCCAGAAAAACAAATCTAGTGTCGCTGACAAAAGTAACCTGGCCGTTCGTCCCGAAAAGGACCTCTAATCGGTTGTGAACTGGGGTAGTAATTGGCTGGTCAACTTTAACGTCTCCAAAACAAAACTGCTCTCTATTAATCACCACAGAGATCCCTCCCTGTCCTCCATTAGAATGTCTGACGCTCAACTTCTCGAGAGCACCTCTCTGCGGCTGCTCGGTCTCACGTTGACTACTGACCTGAGATGGAACAAATACATTGAGTCAATTGCTTCGTACACCGCAAGGAAAGTTGGCTTCCTGTGCCGCGCCAGGAAATATTTCTCCCCGGAATCGATCCTTCAAATCTACAGATCAACCATTCGCACTTGCATGGAGTATTGCTGCCATATATGGTCTGGAGTCCCTACTGTTTGCCTCGGGGTTCTTGATAAGATCCAGAGACGGATATGCAATATATTTGGCCCTGATCTGGCATCTCGTCTGCAGTCACTTTCTCACAGACTCTTTCTGTTATTTTTTACAAATACTTTCATGATAATTGCTCCGATAAGCTGCTTTCCCTGGTTCCCAGACTTCGCGAATTCAAGCGTCCTACGAGGCTGGCATCTCGATCTCACCCTTTCACTGTTGAAACTGTTAAATGTAGCCGTCTTTTCTACTCCAATAACTTCATACCTCGCACCTCTAGCCTGTGGAACTCTCTTCCCTATTCCTGTTTCCCTGATAGCTATAATCTCCAAATATTCAAATGTAATGTCAATCGATATCTCCAGTTGCCTTGATCTATCCACTATCCTTCTCCTCATCCTTTCCTCTATCACTCCTATCTGCTCTCGCTCCATATCCTTTATAACCCCTTGCGTGCTAGTGGCTTCCCGCCTTGCTAGGGTGAAATGCTTATATATATATATATATATATATATATATATATATATATACAAATAACGCAAACATTTTTTTTTAATGTGAAATAATTAAACACTGATAAATTTTCAAGAAATAATTATTACCGATGGATTATAAGAACCAAGTTTTCCTCATTATACATATATATATATATATATATATATATATATATATATATATATATATATATATATATATATAATTAATGATTAATACTTGACTGATGTTACCTTTAGCATCCCGACTCCAGAGTTTCGGAGATGGACCATCCGGGAATTGCTGAGTATACTCGTCAATGGTTATCTGCAAGTGATTGTTTATAATTCAATGTTTTTTTATATGCACTTTTCATTGGGGAAAATTTTTGTCTTTTTCGCTTTGCATGTGTACGTGCGTGTGTCGTCATTTTAGCATGTTTTGCATTGTTTGCATATATTTGCTGCGGAATTAACATTCACTTGTCTTGATGAGTCCTCGGTTGCGCAATGATAGTGAAATGTTAGGGCAGTATTAATGCCGTTAACAAGGTAATCTTCTGCGCAAATCTAATCAGCAGCGAATGTATGCAAACAACGCCAGTATTGGCTGCCATGCCGAAACGAGTCCGAAATTTATTGTCTATAACTCCAAAACAGTATATTTTTATCAAAATTTCTTTGTTATTTTCGAATTATTCATGTAACTTTACACCAAAATATAACTATTCCAAAAATTGTTATTGAATACTTAGCAAGGGACTAAAAAAAGTATTTCTGTTAGTATTCTTTTCTTCAAAAATGTAATGTTGTTATTGAAATCTTTTTTTACGCTCACATAGTGTTTCTACCCAGTTTGAGCTGGGATCCTAACAGGTGCTACCACTCCCGGTCAGGATGGACCTGGGAACACCAGTTTTAAAGAGGTGGTTCCACGCTCCTCAACACCTTTTGATTAGAGTCCTTGCTGTCGGATGTAGTTCATCACCATACCCAGGACACAGAGTAAATGAAAATAAAGAATAAGGGCGAAGAATCGAAAAATAGAGAGTGAAAAAAGAAAAACAAAGTTGAAGAAAGTGAAAGAAAAATGTATAGTGCTAAAAAAGAAAGATGAGTGAAAGATAATAAAAAGAATGGCAGAAAGAGAATGAATAACAAGAATGAAGAAGTCTCCAAAAGATGAAGAAGACTGAAAGAGCAAAAAGAAAAGTAATCACAAGCAAGACTGAAAGAATCGACAAAAAAGATTTGAAGAAGTCTAAAAAAAAAGAATGAAACGAAAAAAAGTAAGTGAAATGTAATAAAGAAGTTAGAATGAAATACACTGAGAGAAAATAAAGAAGAAAGAAAGAAAACAGAGATAAAGGTAAAAACAAAGAAAATTGAAATAATTGAAAGGAGAGTCAATATAAACAAAATAGAAGAGTGAAAGGAAAAAGAAAAAGTAAAAGTAAAGAAGAGTGAAAAAAAGAAAAAAGAGTTATAGAATCGAAAGAAAGAGAATGGAAGAATATAAAATATTAAAAATAAGAATGAAAAAACGGATGAAGTGAAAGAAACGTAAGAAAAAAGGAAAGAAAATGTGAATGAAAAATAAGTAAAGAAAATAAGACGATTGAAAGAAAAAATGTGAATAAAAATAAATAGGGTAAAATAAAAGTGTAATGAAAGAAAAAAAAGAAAAAGTGAAAGAAATTTAAACAAAAATGAAGGAAAAGAGAGTAGAATGAATGAAACATATGCTGAAAAACTGAAATTATAAATTTGCTATTTGATCACTGATCGTCTCATTAGAGACAGCGATCTCAACGGTTTTTCTGCAATTCCTTTTATAGATAGAAGTCTACATTCTTTACTGCCTTTGGTTCTTGGTGATCTTCTACCAAATTTTTGTGTCACGCCTCCTTAGCCGAGATAGGCGTGAATGTGTGCCAGGTGAAGAAAAAAAAAAATAGACGGTTTAATTAAATAAAAATTAAAACAATTTTCTGATGACTTGCTTCCTTCTAGAAATTGTTTTGATATACCACCAGGGAAAGATATACGTACTTGTCATTTGAAATGATTATATTACAACACCTAAGAGATCGCTTTAATGAGACAAGGCACAACGTGGCTCGTTGGCCTTGGGAATCGACCCCGAGTTTGAAAGTTGAACGTCATGACCTAAGAATATCACTTTCGGTCGGTGGTGGACTAAACCTTCGCCATCTTTGCAAGTGAATAACGCCACGTCATCAACTTCCCCGACATCACAAACTCTGTTATTCGAGAGCATCGTACACAATTGTAACTATCACTCATTCACCTATTTAGTGCTTGTTTGTGTGTAGAGGACGATGTTTATTTGCGCGACTGAAGGTCGAATGGATGAGTAAGATGATTACAAAGAGAAGAAAGGAAGAAGGAAAGGGAAAAGACAGATTGCGAATTGGGAAAATAGTGGGGAGAAGTTGGAGAGAAGAAATATCAAGACTCTAGGATGATTTGCAACGAAAAGGTGCATCAGATATGTTGCACTATTCGTATCCTCTAATTGTTTGTAAGTTAATCTCGGAAACCGAAATGATTGCGAATCTCACCGTGTGCCCAAACAAGGTTATTCCTATCTGAATTACTGGCATGAGTTATCACAACGCTTCGACCGTTGAGCCCTCCCGCTTTCATCAGATATATATCGATAACTGTAGTATAGTTGACCTTTCCTCGAATATTCGAATCTATTAATGCCTTAAATTTTTTTCTTTCTGTCTAAATTTCTCGGAAGAGGACGTATCATTATTTACCTTATTGATATTCGGACTATTTGTTTTTGTCGCCACAATACTTCGACCGTTGTTCCCTCCGACCTTCATCAGATATATATATATATATATATATATATACGTAACTCTAGTATAGTTGAACTCTCGTCGAATAGTTTAATCTATTAGTACCTTAAAAATTGATTTCGGCTTGAATTTCTTGGATGAGGAGTTGTCATTATCTACATTGTTTATATTCAGATTATTGTTTTCATTTTTGTTGTTGTTATCACCACGTTTCGGTCATTGTGCTCTCCGGCCTTCCTCAGGCGTATATCGATATGGGTATGTGCGTTGTGGTGTAATGAGGATCGGCTTGGATTGAGATATCGTAAAGCCGAGTTCGAATTCCATTCAAGTCCGTTACATAAGTATTAATCCATCTCTTCTCTCCCAGCTATTGGTTGAATAGCAGGACAGACTTGGGTCTATAAACTTGCTTGACAACCAGTCTACTGCAGAAACAAATGCCAACCTAGTGCGGGAAAATCTTCTACTTAGTCAGTGACGAATCGAAAGAGACATGATCTCCCAAGCGTGTTTCCCTTATAACACTTAACTGTGCGATTAAACTGTAGTATAGTCGAACTTTCAACAAATATTCGAATCCATTAATACCTTAAAATTTATTTCTGTACAAATTTCTGGGATGAGGAGGTATCATTATTTACACTATTGTCCTCATCTTCGATATTGTTATCAACAATCTTCGGTTAGTGTGATCTCCGGCTTTTATCAGTTGTATATCGATCCGAGTAACATAAGGGGAATTACGACTGGAACACTTTATTTAATATACGGCGTTAGACTTCTGACATTCCACTGCTCATGTCTAGGGAAATCACGGCTAGTTCTTATTTTTAGTACTGCTCAGATTCTAAAATCCGACATTATTTTTCGAACAACCTATTTTTTTGAAAATCACTTAACTCAAAGGAAGGTGATAATGCCACTAAGGCGCAAGGGAGGAGGTAGTGAGAGTGAACGAGAATGAGAATTCTTTAAAAGGAACCAGAAACTTGGTTTTAATCGGAAAACATTACGTGTATTAACGTCACACTCTTGACAAAGAGGTTTCAGCGAGTTAATGTAGAGAGACCGACGTCTCGTTTTACTAACTGACATATGGGAAATCGGTGCAGCCTATTCCGACTGAAATGTCTTTGATAATGGAAAAAATATTAAACATGTTGCTTGATAGATGGAGCATTTTAAAATAGAATTTTGGTGGTATAATTTTACTGGAGTAAGAAAGCTCTTAAGATAATTTTCAAATCAATAAAAGGGAAATAATTTAAAAAATAATCCCTCAAAATCATTAAATTTCTATTACACTTATACGTCACATTTACACATAAGATCTATAAATCTCTGAAAATTAATATAGATTTTTAATTTAATGGGATATTAAATGTGATTGTATAAACCTTCTTATTAATATGCAATATTAATAAAAGAAAAAAATTGAAATGAAAGGAGAATAAAAAGAATGCATTACAAGAAATAACATATAAAGAAAATTAGTAATGCCACTTTAATATTGGATCAAATTAGTATTTAGCAATGCCAGTTTAGTATTGTATTAAATCTTAGTGAAATAACTCATGTTTTAGAGGGACCTTGAGAAGACAATGTTCTCCAGAACATATGATATATTTGTCCATCCTTACCATAGTGCACCTGCTATTAACCTTGAGCTTCTTGATAAGATCCATAGAAGAATCAGCAATATTATCAGTCCTGATCATATTTGTCATTTTGCTCCCTTTCTCCTTTCCTAATCACATGCTATGATATGTCATATATATATATATATATATATATATATATATATATATATATATATATATGAGAAAGAGGTTGTAGTGGTTCCAATGAGAGAAAAGTATGTATATTAAAAAGAAGAGAAGAGAGGTGCCGCAAACGTTTTTGGTAGTAATGTGTTTTTTTTAGAAAAAAATATTATGCTAATTTGACTACACGTGTTTCTGATCTCGTGACCGTCTTCAGGTAAAAGCGGAGATTTCCACATATTATTAAACCTAATTAATTTTTTCCTTATGTTTTTCAATGTTAAATATTCTCGATATAAGACATTCTTTGTTTTTGCGTTAGTAATCCGAATGTCTTTTTTTTAATTTTTGAATATATATATATATATATATATATATATATATATATCGGGTGTGATTGCAAAACAATCCAAATGGTGTAACAGCATAAGTGGCCAGAACACAAAATGTTTAATATCTAAATAACCACTAAACTGAGTTTCTCTTTTCCAGGTTTTCAGATAAGACGCTTAGCAATCTTGACACCGATTTTTCATAAGAATCACTAAAAAACAGTTTCAGTTATTCAGCTGAAAACTGAAGAGGTTATAATAGTTTTGTATCAGACTCACCTTCTTCCCAACTGAGCACTGGTGAGAGGAAAAAGATCATTCGTTAGTGAAACCAACATTCATATTCTGGTTTGTATCTTCAATTTCCTTTCAAGAACCATCAAGAGAACGGTAAATAAGTTTTTAAAAAGACGGAGCAGTAAAGTAAAACTGGATCAGAAGGTCACAACAGGAAGAGGTATCATCATTTCAACCAGGAGCTAAAGAGATCATTTAGAAAAGATCCAACTCGTATGACGTTTGGCACGTGGGACAGCAGTTTCAGCTATGAGTGTTCAAAGAGCGGCGAAAAAAAAAACATGAAAATGAAAGCGTACGAAAGATGTTTTGTGTGTATAATTTCTTTGTTTCCAGGGTCCTTCAGTTACTACTATGTATACTTTTTCTTCATTATCTGGTGATTTTTTTATATCAAGCCACGATAAAATCACCAAATAATGAAGAAAAAGTATACATAGGAGTAACTGAAGGACCCTGGAAACAAAGAAATTATAAACACAAAACATCTTTCACAAATAGTAAATATGCGAACAGCACAATGCTTTCTAAGTATATCTGAGAAATTAAAAACAAAACGCACATCACACCAAAAATATCTTGGAAAATAAGGAAAAGATCATCAGCCTACAACAATCAATCAAAAACTTGCAAACTTTGCTTGGAGGAAAAAATAGCTATCATTACATTCCCAGACCAAAATAAATCATTAAATAAAAGATCCGAGCTCATCTCAAAATGCAGACATGAAAACAAATTTTTACTACGTTACTTAAAAATCGAAAACGGAAAAATAAAATAGAAATAAATAAATAAACAAAATGACAATAAAATAAGCAAAATAAATTAACCCAAACAATTTACCAAATCACACCTGTTAGAATAGACGAAATAGAAGAAAAAATAAGAAAAAAATCAATGAACCCAAAAAATAAAGTAAATAATAATAAATTAACAAACCATTATGACCAAAATATTAGTTAGACTATAGAAAATCAAACCAAAAATCAGACAAAAAAATAGCTATAACTGTTATATAACGATAAAAAAATACTACGTCACTTAAAAACCGAAAATATACAGTATAACAAATAAATAATAACATGTAAAATAAAATGACCTAAATTCATCCAAATAAATAAAGTAACAAACTGTTCCCGATAAACTGACCGTTAGAAAAAACAAATAAAAATAATCAATCGAAATAAATACATTAAGTAATAAACAAATTAAAAACTGTTCCCGCCAAAATAATAGTTAGAATAAACTACAACAATCAACCCCAAAATTGAATAAATAGCTTTAACTATCTTCCCAAACCAAAACAAAACTATTAAATAAGCCATATAAACAATTTTTTATTACGTTAATAAAAACATCGATTAAAATTAAAATAAATAAATAAGATAAGAAATAAAAATAAAATTATAAATAAAAAATAAAAATGAATAAAAACAAGCAAAATAGTTCAACCCAAATAAATAAATAAACAAATAAACGATTTCTGGTAAAATAACCGCCAAAATAGACTACCCACAATGTACCACTGACCCGTATATATATAAATACCCCAGAAAAGCAGCACTCGTGGCCTGACGATTGCATCTAGCATGAAACAGACTGTCTCCTCTAAGTGTTGACTTCTATGTTCACTTTTATATTTACACACGCTCTATCTCTGATATTGAGCATTTTATCCCATAAATATAGCACATCATAAAACTATATTTCTTCTTCTATATATATATATATATATATATATATATATATATGAAATTTATTGTAGTACTTCATGAGCTTCTGATCATGACTAATTAATGACGAACATATCATTTTCGTTTATGACAGATTTCATCACGATACTTCTGTTAAGCTTGCAGAGTAATTATACATTCTCATCCCTCAAAGTCTAATAGTGTTATAAAAATCTCTCAGATTACCAGTAAGATATTTTTGATCATTTCTAAGATACAACGGTTAAAAATTGAATCTAACAAATGAACAATTTTGCGTTTCCAGCATTTGGACAATTTTGATTTTACAACCCAATCCTAATGGCATGATATATCTCAT